AGTCGGCTTCGGGGCAGGTAAGACAAGTTCCTCGTGCTCGTTGAACTTCTCTGCCGTCGAGTAGTAGTAGTGAGTCCTTGTCAAGGACTCCTACTCTTATTGTGTTGTTTAACACGGTGTTGCTTGGGTGTCCCATGCGTGCGTGCCAGATGTCTTCGGAGGCGCGGTGTCCGGGCGAGCGTTGATACGCGTCGGAGTTGGAGTAGAAGCGGGCGATGAAGTTTGCGCTTCTGTGGACTTCCCTTTGAGTCAGATTCAGCTGCTGTGCGGGTGTTGGTGGTGTTTCGTCAACGAGGACTGGTGTCGTTGTTCCTGCTGCTGCCAATGATGTCTCTGCTGCTGTCGATGTTGTCACTGCTGCTGCCGATGTTGTCTCTGCTGCTGCCGATGTTGTCACTGCTGCTGCCAATGTTGTCTCTGCTGCTGCCGATGTTGTCTCTCCTGCTGCCGATGTTGTCTCTGCTGCTGCCGATGTTGTCTCTGCTGCTGTCGAATGTTGTATTGTTACTAACGCACGTGTTCGTTCTGCTTCAGGAATGGTATCTGAATACCAGAAGCCTTCCGGACTGAAGTCGGGGTCGAGATCCGGCGGGTGCGTCCAAGATGTGAAGGTGACGATCCCGTCACTGTCTTTGGTGCCCAGGTCTAGGACGAAATCGAGGACGAAGACATTGTTCTTCAGGATCGCCTTTCCGATGTAGAGGCCGCCCTTCCTGTGGTACAGCTTGAACTCCTGGGTGGTACTGTCGGCTTCCAGATGTATGCCTTTCGCCATCAACTGACTGGCGCTCAGTAGGTTGTAGCCAAGTCCTTCTGCTATTAGGACTTTGGACATTTGTAGTACGACATTCGTCTCTCGTGACTGAAGTTGCACTACTCCTTGTCGTCGTGTGCGCAGGTTCTGATTATTGGCGACAGTGATGACGACTTCTCGTTGAAGTTGGTGCTCGCGTTGAACGAACCGTCCTGAAGAGCACATGTGTTGTCCGCAGCAACTGTCCAAGAACCATGTATCCTTCCCGGACGGCTCGCTTTGGGCGATGGCGGCGTACGTCGGGTTTGGTTGAAGTGACTCGTGGCAAAGAGTACTGTTGTTGAGTTGTTCTTTTGGTGAGTAATATGGTGGTGACTCAGTTACGCAGGAGTCACTCAGCCTTGCCATGCAGCTGACAATGTTTCTTGTTTCTTTTGCAGGTTGTCCCGTTGATGTTGTTGAGACGTGTACTGAAGTTGTCGGGTTTGCTTGCGTTGAAGCGACTTGACTGCTTGAAGGGCGAAGTTGGTGTTGTTGATTTGGGCAGTGCGTACGAGGATGCCCTGAAGTCTTGCAGAGGTGGCAGAACGGAGGTATGAATTTCGGTCGATTGTTGTTGTTGTAGTGCCGTTGAGTGTGAAACGCGAATTCGGGCACTGACACCTTTCTCCTTTGTCGTTCTTCTTGCAGGTCCATGTCTTGCTGTTTGGCGTGGATTTCGACGCAAAGTGCCGCTTCAGAGATTTTCCCATGGGCTCGTAGTATGGCGCGAGTGGAGCGCCAGTGAGGACCAAGACCGCCGATGACAACCGTGACGAAGGCGTCCTCTGAAATCGATCCTCCACATCGAAGAAGCTTGTCGCGCAGCTCGCGGCAGCGACTCATATACGCCATTCCTTTCTCGCCTGGTTTCATTTCGATTGTAGTTAGCTGCGCCATTAACCTACGTTGGTTTACGCTGTCTGTTGCTTGATACAGGGTCTTCAAGTGATTGTACGCGAGCTCCGCGGAGTTGCCGTAGCCTCGGTAAGACCGAATGTTTTGTTGTTGAGATGGAGTGATGTTCCTCAGCAGTATCGTGTACGCCATCATTGATTGATAGGTATACTGCTGCTTCTCATACTGTGTGCCGTTTGTTGGGTATGGCAGGGACCCGTCGAAGAAGCCGAGGATTTGCGCTCCTTCCATCATCAGTTCAAATTCGAATGACCAGGTAAAGAAGTCCTTCCCGTCGAAGGTTTTTGTCGTTTGCAGTTTTAGAACGTGCGCGAACTGCGACTGAACTTGTAGTGCGTCCAACGTTCTCTCTTGTCCCAGTGCAGATTGTGGTTGTGGCATGAAGCTGACGGAGCCGCGCTGAGGCTCGTACGGAGCAAAGGTAGGTTGTTGTTGTTGATTCCCGCGTGCGTAGGATGAGCCATCGAGACTCATGGGCGTCACGTTGTTGTTGTTGTTGCTCTTGTTCGATTGCACAGGTCCTCCTTGCTGATGCTGCTCGTAGAAGGACATGAAGGAGAAGAACTTCTCCATCATGCTTGGATCGAAGCCCACGCCTTGGTTTGCGGGTGTTTCAGTAGACCCAGCTGCTGGTCTCGTTGTTGTCCCTTCCTCTGTCTGTAGGCCAGAGGCAGGAGGTGGAGTAGGAGTAGTACCAGGAGAGCCGTTGGAGGAGCTCCTCTCCTTTCTAGTAGACGTGTCTCTTGGTGTATTAGGTGTTGAGGAGAAATGATTTTAACTCTAACCTGTTCTCATACCATGTTGGGCTGAGTGCCCCTTAGGATCTTTGGTAGAGTTAAAGTCTGAGTAAAGTGATGTAGTAGCGGAAGCGTTTTAAGTAAAGTCCTTGAACCACCTTGCGCTAGTATGTGAGGGCAAAGTAAGTTGATTAAAGCAAAGAGATACAAGAATATATATATGAATACAGAGAATATGAAGAGACATAATTATAACTACTTTTACTGTTGCTGTTGCGGTTCGATACAGTGCGACTCGGGCAACTGCTCAATGTCGAGTCAGTTGTGTGTCCTTGCTGTCGCGCTGCATTTGTCAGGTCAAAGGTCGCTGACCTTTGACTTTCGCGTAACCTCCAGCGGTTACATCAACCTCCGAGGGTTGACTCGCTGGTGCCTCGATATGCTCTGCTTCGCTTGTGTCTTGGTGTTTCGACACGACAGAGGCGCTTAAGATTATTTGTTCCCAACAAAAGGGACCACACAAAAACCGAACAGCATAGGTATACAGCACTCATAATGCTATCATCGGTTTCCCAACATTGACAGTATGCTAGTCACAGTCTCATAGTGTATTCCTAACCTTGTATCAAGAGAACCTCATACCGTCATCGCCCGAATAGAAGACGGTGTTGAATAGTAGACAGGGGTTGTCTATTTTTGGGTGTCTCTTATAAACAGGCTAGCCTCATTATAAGGCACCTAGGGTATTTGTGTGTACGAGTTAAGCCAGTGTAGGGCAGGGCTTCAGATTCGTTTTGGGCCACCCTTGGGTTCTAGGTATAGTCAACCCTGATGTGTAGGGTAAAAATTTTGTTTCCCTGACAAAAGCAGGGTAAAAACAAAGTTAGATTGTTTGGCTAGGGTATTTTTGTTTTACAATTTATATGTATAACGCTAAGTGCGTGGACATCAGCACTCGGTGGCTTAGTTTGTTCGATTACAGATAAGATTAGAAAGGTCGCGGGTTAGGGTCTTGCTGCTAGGAGCATTTTGCAGGGGCCACATAGTGTTTCGTCTCGCTTCGGAGCATTCCGTAAGAGGATGACTGAGATCGTATAGTGTACAGTCAGGGAAATGAATTACTTACGCTGTTTTTCAAAGGGTAAAAAAAAAACTTACACTTTCTGGCCTAGGGTAAAAAATCCATTACCCTGCTTGTGAAAGGGTAACTGAAAAAATGCGGCCGCCAGTCTATGCAAAAAGGGTATTTTACCCTGATAACGAGAGCCCTGGTGTAGGGGTTAGGGGCAATTGTATAGCGAGTGGGTCCCTTCTAAACGGTTCTTTGTCCATTTATAAGACTTATAAGACACCTTAAACCGTCCCAAATACAAGATAACCCAAACATTTTGAGTAGTGTACGAGATAAGACATACACGTCTTATATCCGGGCGATGACGGTATCAAGCTCTCACTGAAAAATCCTTTAAACCCAAACCCTCTCGCTTCTTTTCCCAGGCAAAACGTACTATCTTGGTATGAAGTGGCCTGATATGAGGCTGTAGGAATACGCTCTCATTATAGAACTCTTTTTTTGTGTTCTTTAATCTGGTTGTTTCAAGGTAATCGTTCGAAATTGGAAATGTGACCCTTCAAGTACATCACTATGTCTGGCACGATGACACAATAGTATGCAATTTAGCACTCTCAAAGAGGGTCGCGTATTATCGGAGTGTACCGTAGAAGCACGAGGGGCGCATACCGTATTACCCCGGACATACCACCCGCCGAAATAGAGCACCCCCCGGGTGGCTTGTGCGGGGGGGGGGTGCTATAGCGGGCCTCATTTCTACTATACCCCCCTTTTGGGGCGATCCGATATAGCACCCGGGGGGGGGTGTTATGTACGGGTAATATTGCAGTTTTTGCCTAAATAGCACTGGGTTTCCAATGATTAACCATCTACATGTTAACATCAGCACAAACAAGCTACGTCTGACGCTATACAGCGATATCACTCCCATCACACAGTCTTTCCTTCATTCAGATGGGGCCTACTACCATCCAGACAGAATGCTATCTACCTACACAGTCTGTTGCGGGCGCTCCGCCTTTGTGACTGCATGAATCCTCGTCGAGCGACGAGGGGGTGTGTCTTCTTTCCAATCAGGGCCTGACTGTGGGCCTTGTTGGAGCTTGCAATGTGGCAGCTAACCCACGAGACTAACGTTATCGCCCAGTCCTCGGTTTTGCGCACCCAACCAACAATCTACCACCGCGTCAAACATGTACATTTGTTCTCAACCTTTTGTGCTCTAAAAAAAATATACATGATGTAACGACCCGGGTGCAATGTAGCTTTTTCCGATGACAAGACCCCCCCCCCCCCCCCCCTTTCTTTTGTGTAGTTATCATAGCACCCTAGGGTGGTATGTCCGGGGTAATACGGTATCTGGGTGAGAAAAAAACATTCCACCAGTCCCAATCCCAACCCAAGACTTCAAGATTGTCAATGGACAGCTTTTGCTGGCTTAAGAGTGTCAAATAGCCTTCACAAAACTAGACCCCATTGTTTATTCCTCTACCTTTTCCTTCCCCTTGACCTGACATATGAGCTTGTGCGAGGGCCAGTGGGAGTTATGGCACTCCCTGCTGCAGTAGGCAGCCTTATCGCAGCGCGCACACACCTTGAGCTGCACCCCCACCCCTTCCACCTTGCCACACCGCGGGGAGGCACAGCCTCGCGGCCCTCCTTCGCTGCCACACTGTGCCGACACACACCCACGCTGCCCTCCCTTGCTACTGCGCCCCTCACCAGGGGCAGCAGCAGCAGCACCGCCAACAGCTGCAGCACCAGCATCCACGTGGGCCTGGGGGCAGTAGCTGGTCTCCCCCAGCAGCATCTCCCTCAAACATGCCAGAGGATTCACCCCCCCCGGCCACGGCACCAGGTACCACGCCCCTACCCTCCCCTTCTGCCGCTTCCCAGCGTCCTTCATTGCGCACCTCATGCCCTCACAGCACTCATCCGACACCTCCCCCTCCACACGCCCAACCCTTTTACCTGCTCCCATCTGCAGCGGCGAGTCGTGGGCCTCCACAGCAGGCCAAGCGTTCCCAGCCGCCATGCACCAGCTGTCCACCTCCTCCCACATCCTCCACTCCTCCCCCCCCTGCTGCTGCTGCTGCTGCTTCTCCCCCTCCACCTGCCCACCCGCATCGTTGCTGACGGGTTCCAGAATGGCCGGAAGGGCATTTTCCTTAGTGAGAAGCAGCGTGCTCAAGTAGAGCAGCATCAGCCGATCACGCCTTCCAGCAGCGCCGCCACCAGCGAGTCCGGGACCACCGCCGGGACAGGCGCCACGCCCAGATTCTCCAGGAGCTCTCTGAAGCGGGACGAGCGGGCCGGGAAAAGCGAGAGGAGGCAGCGCAGCAGCGCGGACGAGGGGCGGTAGGCGAAAGTGGCGACGAGCGAGGTGTAGTTTACAGCCAGGTAGTATATGCAAATGCAGCGGTGGCAGCGGCTGCAGACAGGAATGGAAGAAACGGCGTTTGCGATCAGCTTTATATACACATCCACCTTAGCTTCAGACCGCAAGATGGGCTTTATCTTGCCGTGAGCATACCGGCCCAGAGCCATAGCAGCCCAGGCTCGATCCCCGAGGCCCGAGCGGCCAGCCCAGGAGATGATAGCCTTGGCCAGAGGGCCGTTCCTGCCCTCCCTTGCCAGCCTTGCAGGGGCGAACCTTCTCAAAAACTCCTCCACACGGTGGCCCAGCGTGGGGAAGATGGGACCACTTGTGTTGACCTGCACAGTGATCTCGCCACCAGGGAGGTAAGGAGAGCGAACCGTAAAGGTGTCCACTTGGGCCGGGGGCGGGTGGAACTCCCTCACATTGTACTCCTTCTGCACCTCCTCCTTGTCCAACTCCCTGTCGCCACGAAACGCCCCCACGTGGAAGGTGCTCTGTCCAAAAAACTTTCCCACAGTGTCCTTCACTACCTCAGCCACTACTGCCCTGTCCCCCCTGGAAACTCCTCCCAGACCATCCTTGCCAAACCTTCCTGGCATGTGGCAGCCAGAAGGTTGGGCACGGCACCAAACCTTTGCAACAGGTTCGGTAGGTCGTGAAGTCGATGCGGGAGCGCGGTGGCATACCCCCGCTGGTTGAAGCATCGGCAGTCCTCGGCGGGGTTAACCCTGGGGCCATAAAAGCGCACCCATTGCAGCAGGCAAGTGACTCGATACGTGAACAGTGCCACCACCACGTTATTGTTCACCGGCACTGGCCTGTTACCAGTGCCGCTTGCCGTATTGGACCCTTTGGCACCTGTAGACCCAGCAGCAGTAGCAGCAGGATCTGTTGCTGGTGCGTCTGATTCCATTACTCGCTTCCCTCGATCCTGCACTCCACTGCCCTCTGTGCTTCTCTCCCCCCTGAAAGTCGGTGACTGCCTCCTCCACAGCAGCGCCTTCCACGCTCTCCTTGTGGCGGCTGCCAGCACAATCCGAGAAGACGATAGCAGCAGCGCGGGCGAATGGCGTCTGGCAGAAGACAGTGGCGCACTTGAGGGTGAACTCTGTGGGGTCCACACCCGATACCACCATGCCGCTGTTACTGCCACAGCTGCCACCGCTTCTGCCACTGCTGCTGCCACTGTTGCCACTGCTGCCACAGCTGCCGCTGGCACTGCTGCCGCTGCTGCCACCGCTGCTGCCACCGCTGCCGCTGGCACTGCTGGCGCTGCTGCCACTGCTGCTGCCACTGCTGCTGCCAGGTGGGTCTCCCACAGTCTCAGTCGAGCTTCCCTCAGCTCCCTCGCCTTCACCACACTGCGAGCAGCAGCAGCGGTACTGCTGGCCTGCAAGACCTCCCTGGGCGACAATCTCCCCCACGCGCTGCACATACTCCTCCCACTCCACCCCTCCCAACCCCTCCCTCCACTCCTCCACACTTCCCCTCTCCGTACCCTGCCTTCCCCCTCCCCCTCCAGCCTGCCCATGCGCGTGCCTTCCCCCCGGCAGCAGCGGCAGCAGGTGGGCAGCAAAGCCGGTCTCCAGCTGTTCCTTCCCCTTCAATCCCAACACCTGCAGCAGCAGCGATGCCAAGCAGTCGCCCCTAGCCTGCCGCCCCGCGCCGAACTGAAACGCCAGCTGGGGAAAAGATCGAATTAGCAGACCGCATGTGTGCTCGCCAGAGAGTGACAAAGCAGGGGAACTTGGCGACAAGCACGGTGAAAGCAGCGATGGACACGGCACGGCGGTAGCGCGTCCAACAGTCACTGCACAGCCAGCAGCACCACCACAGGCGAGGGCTACCTGCCGCCCTCGCTCCTCTAGCCCCAACGGCAGCAGCCGCTCGCGCAGCAGCTATATCATGCACACTTAGAAGATCTGCCAGCTGGCGCCGTATCTGCCAACACGTGGCTCTGCCATCCACTCGAGCATCATGGCATCAGCTGCAACCACAGGAGCCGAGTCCACCTTCCACCGATACTGTTGCTTCACCGACGGTGCTGCTGCACGCTCTTCGGAGGCAGCAGAACGGCCTGGAGGGCGGGGAGGAGGGGCGGAGAGCCGGACGGTGGCGGAGTAGGCGGTGATGAAGCACGGGGGCTTGTGGCCGAAGAGGAAGGGCGGCATGGAGGGCGGCACCGGCTGCTGCAGGTGCTTGCGCAGGGAGGTGAGCGAGGAGATTTGGAAGGCGACGGGAGGGGCGGGGCGGAGCATGCGGGGGAGGCAGCAGGCGCAGAGGGAGTGCGTCCACGGCAGGTGTACGTCCACGTAGTGCACCATGTGCGCGCGGGAGAGTGGCACGTGCTCCGTGGCGAAGGGGCTGCTAGAGCTCCTGTTGGTGCCACCGGTGGTTACTGTCACCACTGCTGTCACTGCCGCTATCGCCCCCGCCGCTGCCGCTGCCACTGGCGCCGCTGCTGCCGCTGCCGTCGCCCTCTGTGGAAGTAATAGTTGTCGCGTTTGCGCTGTTGTCCGCAGGCGCGGGGAGAGCGGAAGGTGCGGCACGATCAGCAGATGGCGGCACAGGGGGAGGTGGACGCGTAGGGGCAGATCCTGAAGCAGGCAAAGGTGACGTCTCTGATGGGGGTTTTATGGCAGGGGTTAGCGATAGAGCTTCGAATTCTGCGAGTGGGGCACATGGGTTAGCAGCGACTGGTGCGTCGTTTATGCCGTCGTTCCCTCCCTTCGCCGCTTTCGATTTCACTGACAGCAATTTGATCACTGTACCCGATTTAAGCCTTGCCTTGACCGCGGATAAGGTAGGCGATAAGTACACCACTTGCCCGACAGCCATGGACCAAACCGCTTGCTTCTCTTCGCCCTCGCCGCTGCTCCCCTTTCCCCCCTCTTGGATTCCAGCGTTCTCCGCGTCATCATGTTGCTGACGTTTCTGCTGACCTGGCAGACAGCATCGTGGCAGGTGGGACACAAAGAGCTGTTTGGAGGGGCTCATGCGGATCAACGGAGATGGGATAGTCCACGTGGGAAGCGGCTGGCTGTTGGATCGTGGCCGCAGTTCCTCCTTTGCCATAATCAGCTACAAGGCCAGTCGCAGCCGCGGTGCCGCTAGCGTCGATGCTGTTGTCGATATTCGCATCACTACTCCTCGGTTTGAGAAGATTAGTGGGAATTCGAAATCGAAGTGTGAATTCCATGTCACGGAATAAGAAACACAAGGCCTAGGCGGGAAAGAGTACGCTCAGCGAGCACTAACTTGGATCTATCGGTAACTAAGCGCCATGACTCCTTCAAAAAGCCTCACGTGCAGCAACTAAGAAGATGGCATCAGAAGCCTGAGTTATGTGCTTTCCTGGTTGGAATAACGCGCGTTGTAAAATGGCTGCACGCATGTTTCGAAACAATTCCAGTGTGAACATTCGCAATGTTGGAGGGTGTTACGAGTGCAATTGAGTGAACGAACGAGAATTGCACTATCGAAGCAAGAATACAATGAGCGAAGGCATGAGCGAAGAATATATAGCGAAACTACAGTGGTAACGGTAATGGACTGTGGTTGTCGCGCGACGAGCCTGGGACTGAGGTTGGGAAAGTGTCGAAGCGGAGGCCCGTAGCGCGGGTTACCAGCCGAGCCGTGAGGTCGGGGTGCGATGTGCGAAAATGGCGGGATTGTCGATGCGAGGATGGCGAGTGGTAACGGTGCTGACTGAGGTGCTACAGTGATGTACGCGCTGAGCCGGGATGCGAAGTAAGGAAATGTGATTTTCCTTACACTAACCTCCCTCCTAAGGAGGTCCTCCTTACGACAGTGCGTGGATACTTGGTGAGAACAGGGTGGTTTTCGATTCTGTCCAGGGGAGCCCAGTTGTCCTCGGTGGGTGTACGATCCTTCTAGCGGATCACGAACTCGATCTTTCTGGCTCCACGAGGGTCACGAACTCTGTGGCTCAGGATTTTGTCGAGGGTGATGATTGGTTCGGTTGGTGGTCGTGCCATGCTGGCTGGTCGATTGCGTGGGAGTTGGCTTGTGGATGGTACGTAGGGGCGAAGCAGGCTGACGTGGAACGAGTGGCTGACGTACCAGTCAGCAGGGAGGAGGAGGTGCGCGGTGACAGGTGTTATCATGTGGCTAATTCGAAATGGCCCACAGTATCGAGGGCGGAGTTTGGGGGTGATGGGCAGGCGGAGGTTTTGAGTGTCGAGTAAAACGAGGTCGTCGGGCTGGTAAGTGACAGGTCTGCGGTGGCGGTCAGCGTTGCGTTTAGCGATGATGTTTGATTTTTTGATTGCTTCTGCTGCCCTGGTCCGTGTTGCTTGCAAAATCTCGGCGAACTGTTGTGCGCGTGGAACGGGGTTGTCGGGATTTGGGGTCATGGGTACTGTTGGGTCTTGTCTGTAATTCAGGTAAAGAGGTGACTGTTGGGTCGTGGCGGATGGAGCGTTGTTCTATGCGAATTCGATGAGTGGCAGTTGCTGTTCCCATGTGTTTGGGTCGTCGCACGTGGCCCTAATGAGGAGATGAGAACGAGAAAATGAGTTGACTAAGGAATGGAAGTGATACAAATATGCAACCCTAGAAATGTGTACCCCATATGGGCTACCCCACTATAGCCTACACAATATTATAACTTGACACACCCCCATAGGCAAAGTGGGGGAGAAAAAGGGGTCACAAGACCAGTCAAGCAAAGAAAAGCAAAGCTCAGGGTGGATCACAACGTCACCACACAGTCCGAGCACAAGGTCAAGGCCAGAAGGCCAGTTCACATGCAGGAGTACACATAGATATATAAGGCTAAAAAAGCAAGAGCAGGTATATATAAATAAGAGTATGAGCAAGATCAAGAGGTGAGCAAGTGAGGACAGATAGGTACAAGTCCCAGCTGAGTGAAGAAACGCTGATGATCACAAGGCGGAAGTGCCTTGGTGAAAACATCAGCAGTGTTGGCCTCAGAGGCCACGTACGCAAGTTGCAACTGACCACGCTGCTGCAGCTCACGAGCAAGAAAGTAACGGAGAGCAATGTGCTTCGTTCTGTGCTCCAGGCGCTGCTCTTGACACAAGGCCAGCATGGCCTTGTTGTCTACGTACAGCACTGGAGGAGAACGAGGCGGCTCTCCGAGGTCGGTCAGCACGTAGGTGAGCCAGCGAAGCTCCTGTGCAGCCATGGCCCCGGCGTAGATCTCAGCCTCACAACTGGAGCCGAGAATAGAAGACGAGCGAGTAGCCCGCCACGAAACAGAGCCGGAACCAAGACTAAAGGTGTAACCCTGTGACGACCGCTGAGTAGCGTGGTCGTCAGCCCAAGAAGCGTCCGCGTGCCCAGTGAGGACTACTGGACTCCGCCCTCCAAGCACTAGCCCCATGCCCGACGTACTGCACAAGTAGCGCAACACCCTCTTCGCTGCAGCCATGTGCTCTGGTCGGTGTCTCCCAGGAGCAACATATCGTGCAAGAATGCTAAGAGGGTATGCAAGGTCAGGTCGTGCGCAGCTCTTGTGGAGAGAGGGGCTCCCGCCGAGACGAAGCACCCGGAGAACCTCCAGGCCCAGCACCGCCAGATGCCACAAGGGGAGGTCCAGCGGCCGTAGGCTCCGCACCTCCAGGATCAGCAGCTCCAGACGCAGCACCCCCTGGCGCAGTAGCTCCTGACGTAGCACCCCAAGGCTCAGCAACCCCAGTCACAGGACCCCTAGGCTCAGCACCCCCAAGCTCAGCACCCCCAGGCGCAGCACCCCTAGACTCAGCACCCCCAGGCTCAGCACCCACGCGCGCAGCACCCCCAGAGTCAGCACCCCCAGGCTCAGCACCCGCAGCAGTACCAGAGTCAACAGCAACCTCGACCGGCTCGACTGTGTCTACCTGGGACACACCTGAAGGGGCAGGACCCTGAGGGGGAAGGGGGTCTACCGGGAGGGGACCTGGCACAAGGAAGTGCGGTGGCGGGGGGAGGGAAGGAGTGCGGGGAGGGAAGGAGTGCGGTAGGGGAAGAGGCGGTAGAAGGGGACTGACTCGTCGAACGTGACATCCTGGGAGGACAGAACAGGACGAGAGGAGGGGTGGTAGAACTGCCACCCTGGTGCGTCAGGGGGGAAGCCAAGGAAGACACAGGGAGCAGCACGAGGGGACAGCTTGTCCGCAGACAAGTCGCGGACAAACGCCGGAGATCCCCAGACACGGAACGCAGACGCATCGTTGACCTTCCCCGTCCACAGCAGAGCTGGGGAGGTCTCTGGCCGGGAGACCCTGGGGTGAAGGTTGATCTGATGCGCCGCGTACCGAACCGCAAACGGCCACAGAAAATGGGGGGCAGCCGCATGCATCATGGACGTACGGGCGACGTCCATGACCATGCCAATGCAGCGCTCAGCAATCCTATTTTGCTATGGAGAGTCCGGAAGCGTAAAGGTCTGGCGGATGCCTCGCGCACGACAGTAGGCTCGCAGAAGGCTAGAGGAGAACTCTCCGCCTCGGTCAGAGTGCAGACGCAGAACAGGAAATGTTAGAACATATAGCTTACTTGTTTGTGTAGGCTATAGTGGGGTATCCCATAGGGGGTACAACACAAGTAGGGTTTCCTATTTGTACTCACTTCCTTCATACTCAATTCATTCTCGTTCACACTTTCTCATGGAATCAGAGCAGGTCCCTTCTTAGGGCCTGTTCCTAGGGCCCACCGAAGCGCGCCCCGAGGCGCGCATTTTTTTTAGCGACCCTCCGTGTCGCCCTCCTCGTCGCGCTCCCGCTTAGGCCTCACGTCGGCCCCACGTCGGCCCCGCTTAGGCCCCACGTCGGCCCCGCTTAGTCCCCTCGTCGGCCCCGCGTAGCCCCGCTCAGGCCCGTCGGCCCCGCTTCGGCCCCGCGTCGGCCCCGCGTAGCCCCGCTTAGGCCCGTCGGCCCCGCTTCGGCCCCGCTTTGGCCCCGCGTCGGCCCCGCCTATACCCCGTCGGCCCCGCGTTGGCCCTGCTTAGGCCCCGTCGGCCCCGCGTTGGCCCCGCTTAGGCCCCACCGGTCCGCCTAGGCCCCACTACGGCCCGCCGTTGGCCCCGCTACCGCCCGCACCGGCCCCTGCTGCAGCCCGCCGCCGGCCCAGCTACAGCCCGCCGCCGGCCCACCTACAGCCCGCCGCCGGCCCTACTACAGCCCGCCGCCGGCCCCGCTATAGCCCGCCACCGGCCCCTGCTACAGCCCGCCGCCGGCCCTGCTACAGCCCGCCCCGGCCCCGCTACAGCCCGCCGTCGGCCCGCCGCCGGCCCCGCTACTGCCCGCCACCGGCCCCTGCTACAGCCCGCCGCCGGCCCTGCTACAGCCCGCCCCGGCCC